AACCAATCTGAAAAATTGCATATCTGAATTCTCTTTCAAGCAATTCAGATATTGCAATTGAGTTTTGAAAGTTTAATTGGCTAAATTGATCTACAATTAACCCTTATTCAAAAAACTTCAAGAACAATTCACACCCATTCAAATGAATCAAAAAAAAATTGATTGCTAATCTAAAATTTTACAAACTTACTTATATCAGGAAAGAATGGAAGAGTGAGAAAGAAAAAGATTACAACAAGGAAGCTGAATTTGAATCAAAGGAAATGAAACTAGAATGGAATTATTACAATAGATCTCTGAATCAAAAACCCCCAATTTCGAACTCACCTTCTCTTCTTGCTARYTWGACTTGAACTCCTTCAGCCCTTCTTCTTCTCCTCCTTGCGCCTAGCCCTTCTTCTCTTCTCTTCTCTTCAARGTGTTCGAACCTCTAGGAGTGGGAGAGTCTTAATCGCCAGCAATTGAACACCTCTCCCCCCTCCAGAGGCCTCCTTATATAGATTTTCAAGGGGGCTCTTGCCCCTTCTTGAAGCCTCTAGAATGGGGTGTATTACACCCCCTTCTTGAACTTTCTAGAGTTCTCTCTTTAAAGCCTTCTAAGGGTAGCCGCCCCTAGCTCTTTGGGCTGCACTTAGGCTCCCTCTTAGCACATAGCTACACTCTAGACTGCTCTTTTACACTGAGAATGGGCCTTCTCTGCTGGGCCGAATTTTACTCTTTGCTAGGCTTTATTTTTGCCTTCTTTTTCTTGGATTAATTACCCCTGAAATCTTTTCTTAGCATTAAGCTGAGTTAGGGCAAAATTAAATAAAACCAACATAATAATTCATGTAAAGTCCTCATAAATTAAAGATAAATTGTATGTTCATCAGGCCTAGCCAAATCCACTAGAGATCACAGTAAATCCTTGAGTCCATCACCATGGGCTCTTAATGGACCCAATATTTACACTAAATGGTCCTTGGGTCGAGGCATCTTGTAAAGGCCCAAGGACTGTGGGTAGATGCAAGATTAGCCCATCGGGTATTACCCTCAATGGTCTTACACTTAACCTCTTAGCCCATAATGATCAAACACTGCCCGACAAGAGATGACCTCTCCCTCGGCTGCAAGGTACAGTGTCGCACTCTCTACTCACATGGATCCCGGGAATTAAAACCTTTTGCAAACATTTTGTGAAACCATATCATATAAGTATATCTCTATATAAATATATTTTGCAAAACAAATTTCAAATACATTTAAAATCCACTACCGGTAGTTTAGGTTTCCATCATAGAGAATGCATTCCCCGATCATTCACTTTGTTCGACAAAGGGGCTGATCCTGTCACTATGATCACTCACTCAGGTGAATTCTCGGACTACCCCAACATACCTAGGTTTTGACCTAGTAAAGGATCTCATTGATTGGCATATCAAAGACAGCCCAATCCGACACCTAGTGTAGTACCATAGTCTAGTCTAGGGGTCAGGTGTAACATTCCAGTTTTCTCCATCTATCTCCAAGGTCTAGGGAAATATTGAAATTTGGTCCGATTCAAGATTTCAAGAAAAACCACAGTGCATGTACCTCAGGTCTCACCCTGGCAGATGAGACATGTTAGACAGTTTTGTATGCCCTTAGCTTCAATTAGAATGATGTACTTTATGAGTTTATTGTAAATGAATAAAGATACATATTTGATTCATGTTCCCTTGGTATGTTTCT